TTTACATAAAACTTGGACTTATATTATTAGTCCAAAATACAACTACTTTAAGCAAGGGTACAAGTAGATAAGGCATCTAATTGTCATGTAAATGAATATACCAAGATTAAACAATAACAAAATCTAGGTTGTTATACCTTCCTTGAGATTGGCTTCTTCCTCTGCCTCGTCCCCTTGGTCTTCCTCGACCTCTGATTCCAGATGTGCCTGTCAGAAGATTAATAGGTGACTCTTCCCTTTCTTCAGACTCTGGACGAGCCGTTCTTTCAGATCTTCTAGTTCGGCTAGACATCTGCAGATTTTAGTGTTAATAATCACGTATTCACATTCCCAAATATAATGAAGTATTTAAGTTCAGATGTGTACCTGTAAATTCATAATTACACTAGCCAGATGTAATTAAAATTTACCTTACACACTGTTCTTTTAACTCATCATATTTATTTTCAATGGTGCTAACTATGTTCGGGACCCTTAACATGCAATAAAACAGTTTAAGTCTAGGTATCATGCTGTTAAATACCTAAATCCCTTAAACTCAGGCTCTGATACCACTTTCTGTAACACCCCATACCACATATTACATGTAACATATATTTCATACAGAAAATACATATTTATACATCATTCAGGTCCCTTAATAGAAGAATCTATCAGTATGAAATACATGGTTCAAAAATTCAAAATACAAATTCTTGTACTATACATAACATCATCCAATCCTCATACAGGTAAACATATAGGAAAATTATCACATTTTCCCTTTCCCCTTACCTTCTGCACTTCCTACAACACATATTTAAAATCACAAAATGAGGGTTAGACCGAAAGGTCCAGTGAGTTACCCTATTTATGTTATTGCAGGGTGAAAATTACCAAAACTTTGTACAAAACAACTTTTCATATATATAACAAATATATGAACAAATAAGGACATAATACCAGTACATTTCCACTTTTCAAGTCAAGCATTCAGCTATTCAGATAACATACTCCAAACCTTTATAGGTTTGAACCAACCAGGTTTCATATAATGCCACTTTTAAACCCTTTCAATTAAACAAGGTTTATTTAAAGTTTCAGGCCAAACCTGTTATTTTCTCCTCAATAACATCCAGATTACGATTTCCAATAAAAACCACGATCTTAAATCTTTAAATCACAAAGAAATAAAGATTCCAGACCATGGTAATTTTAAAGGATATAATAGTAAAAGTCATATCACATAACACACATACAAATGCCACCCTTATAACCAAAGGTACACCTCTCCTTGATATGCCACCCTTATTCCATGGTATACCTCTCCTTGATATGCCACCCTTATTTCCTCGTCAAAACATTTTTTCACAAAACAATTCCAATTAGGACAGACCATAGTCATAAATGTTCTAATGGAATATTATCAGTTCAAAATAATTATTTATCAAAATTCCCATTCTATATACAAGAACAGTAAAAATGACAATTGTATAAGTAATACATAAGTTAAGGCACAAATCTGGTCAACACAGACTTGGCCGGACTTCATCTCCGGTCAAGCCTTGGCCGATTTACTAATCCGGTCAACACAAGACCCTTGTCCGATTTACTAATCTGGACAGCTCTTGTCAATGCCTTGTCCGATTTAAAATAAACTGGCTACCTCATAGTCGTATTCCTACTTCTCCGTTCAAAATACTTGATATAAACTCAATGATCATAAATCGCTCAACACTTATCCGGTTTAAGACTAAACCGCTTGACTCTTGATCGGTTTAAATCCAATCCTGACAACACTCATCAAGCGGTATATTTATAAATCGCTTAAGCCTTAACCGGTTTAGGGCGTAAATCGCCCAAGGCTTGTCCGGTTTATGGCTAAACCGCTTAACACTTGTCCAGTTTATGGCTAATCCGGACAACACTCCAGCGGATAACTTTTATATCAAAAGTAAAGTTCTACAATCAATTATACAATTCTGATGAGTTTAAAAGTAGTAAGAATCACTCACATTGAAAGTCTTTTTGAAACCAAATACTTGAAGTCAATTGATCTTTAATCCAGGAATAATCCGGTCAAGACTTCACTTTTTAAATCACTCAAATTCACAAAATGGCAAGAAGAAGGGAAATGGAGGCTAAACCCTCCCTTTTATACTTTCCCTTTAGGGAAAGTCACCTACTACAGCCGACACCACATGCATGCCTTCACACTAAAAACATATAACCATACATGTATATATATATATATACACACTTATGCATACATGCACATACATGCATGCATATCTTACATATATATATATATCATGCAAACATGTACATCCAAAAATACACATAATCTCATTTATGTATCTATATTATGCACATTTTCACTTACTAACATGATCAAATGTATCAATTTATCATGCTGTCACATAATCACATATAACAAATAATCACTTATTTATTATCTCAGGTGACAACCAAGATCTGGTTATCACATATGGCATCTTGAGAGAGTTAGAATCATTAGTTGCTATTTTTTTCAATTTTTGAATTATTTAAAATAAAACACATCATTAAATGAATGAACCTTTCATTTACTTTTTATCTATAAGTTACATATAATAATCTAATAAACCTTTAAATCTTATATCTATAAATATATAATCTATATATGTATAATCTATAATTCTCAATCCACATTGTGTCATATCATGTCTTTTGGTTCTTACTTRTAGATTATAGATATATATATATATATATATTATTTATAGATATAAAGATTTAAAGGTTTATTAGATCATTAGATTATTATATGTAACTTATAAATAAAAAGTAAATGAAAGGTTCATTCATTTAATGATATGTTTTTATTTTAAATAAATATATATCTATATAAAGGAGAATCTTCAAAAGATGATGTGGCATCTTGAGAGAGTTAGAATCATTAGTTGCTATTTTTTCCAATTTTTGAATTATTTAAAATAAAAACACATCATTAAATGAATGAATCTTTCATTTACTTTTTATTTATAAGTTATGTATAATAATCTAATAAACCCTTAAATCTTCATATCTATAAATATATAATCTATATATCTATAATCTATAATTCTCAATCCACATTGTGTCATATCATGTCTTTTGGTTCTTACTTATAGATTATAGATATATATATATATATATATATATTATTTATAGATATAAAGATTTAAAGGTTTATTAGATTATTAGATTATTATATGTAACTTATAGATAAAATGTAAATGAAAGGTTCATTCATTTAATGATATGTTTTTATTTTAAATAATTCATAAATTGGAAAAAATAGCAACTAATGATTCTAACTCTCTCAAGATGCCACATCTGGTTAATTTCATATTTTACCAGTGCCTCTGGTTATGTTAAAATCTTATTTGTCTTATATCTCATCTTATTTTCCATAAGTTTTAGTTTAGACGGATCAGAGGCTCCTTGAAACCCCTCTTTTCCTACATGCAAGTTGCTATTGTTTCCAATTTTTGAATTATTTAAAATAAATTATTGTCATCGTGCAACGCACGATATCAAACACTAGTATCATATATTTACAAGTAAAATACGAATTTGTTTCCTATGATTTGGTGGTTTTTATGAAAATGGTCCTGAATTTCATTCATTACACATTTAGGACTCATCTTATGTCGTTTTGTAATGAGCTAGTCCTTCTTTCTAAGGCCATCCAGTTCCTTCATTAACCTTAAGGGCATTTTCGTTTTTTTTTTTTTTGTTGCCTTTCATCGAGGGACCAGCATAAAGTCTACAAAATTAAAATATGTATACTTTGAGTTTATTAAATCAATTAATTATTATAAGTTAATATATATTAATTATTATACTTTTAAGTTTATTTTAATATATAATATATTTTTTAAGATAATATGTATCCTACATGCACGTACGTGTACACACACATATATATATATATATATATATATATATACATAGATTTGGGATCATGTGAGACCAGCCTGTTTTCATGAGACCCATGAGACCAGCTTTTTACACTTGAAACTTCACAGCAAAATGCTGTGAAAGTAACATTCACAATGTTTTTGCTGTGAAGGTTCGACTTTTTTAAACCTTCACAGTGTTTTTGCTGTGAAGTTTCAAGTTTAAAAATGTGGTCTCACGGGTCTCACGAAAACAGTCTGGTCTCACGTGAACCCAACCCTATACATATACATATACATATACATATACATATACATATACATATACATATACATATACATATACATATACATATACATATACATATACATATA